CAGCAACAGGCTCGATTGGGCTTGAAAGAGTTGGGATACCCGTATCAGCTTCAACATTCACGGGAGCTTCAACCACGGGAAAAGGGAAGTCTTGAGTTTGCTGAGATTTTTCAATGGTTTCATTGATCTTAGCTAACTCCGACTCCAGGTTGAAGTTTTCTTGGCCAGCTTCAATTAGGGTATCACGACGTGAATTCAAAAATGCCCAACTTACCTCAATAGCAGATTTTTCTTCAAGGGTCTCATAATCCTTTTCCCAATCAGTAATCTCATTCTTTAGCTCTTCATTTACAGCCAAGGCGGAGTTGTAAGAAGCTTGAAGAGAGGCATGGGAGCTCTCTAAAGCACGAACCTTATCAGCCGAGACTCGAAGGTCTTCCTGTGCTTGAGTTAAGCTTTGCACGAGCTCCCCAGCGTAAACTTCTTTTTGACTCAAAAGAGCCTTCAACTCTCTGTTCTCTTCGCTGGCCTTATATAGTTGCTCTGAGAAGGAAGTTTCGAGACGTTCTTTGTCTTTTTCTACTTGGCTTGAGGAAGCTTTTACAACTGCTAACTCTGAAGTTAAAGCCCGCATCTGCTGCTCTAAGGTACTCTTGCTTTCTTGTAAATCTTCCATATCAATTAGTGCACTCTCAAATTGTTCCTTCCAATTGATCGCCTCCAACTGAGAATCACGTGCTACCTTCTCCAAGAGAGGGATTTGGTTCATCATTTCTGTGCCGATAAGATTGGCCTAAAAAGGGAAGGGAAATAAGAATATAATAAGCCCAAAGATAAAAAAATTACAAAGTAAAGAAGGGAGAGAAGGAAAATACCTTCAAAGTGGCATGCACGATTTCATTCATTAGAGTCAGGGAACTATGGCTCTCCAACTTTGCTTTTTCAATTGGATCAATTAAAGGTTCCAGCCATACATCTGCCTGACCTGACTTCCTCAAAAGGCTGCTATCAGCATGAACTTCAATGGTTACTCTCCTCATAGCGGAACTTCTACTTGAAGAGCCCACTTACGTATGGTGAACGATAGGAGGGGGAATTGTCGAAGGAGGAGCGGTAGAGGAAGTGAAAACAGTAGAAGAAGGAACAGAAACAGCTGGGGCTGGTAAGGAAGGAATCACGGGCACGGGAGTTGAAAAAGAAGATAAGGGTATTTCATCTAAAACAGGCCCTAAACTTCCACTACTAATACCACTGAAGAAAAGGTGATAAATAGACTCATGAGTATCATGAGGAGTGACGTCATCATCAGGAATTATTACTGGGGTTTCAACAGGTTCGGTAAGAGGAACAGAAAGACGAGGGGAAACTTCAGCTTCATGATCAGAGATGATGCGTCTCCTAGCTCATGGCCTCATCACCAGGGAACCTTCATCTTCTTCTTCTTCAGAGTCTTCTTCTTCAACATTTTTCCTTTTTGCAGAAAAAGAACCCAAGACTATTTCTCGGGCTCTTTCTAAAGAAATAGGGTTCCCGAAAGAGTACGGGTTCCCGAAGAGACACGAGAGGCCGCAACTGCTTCAGCAGTAACTCCTCAAATAGAAAATCCTGATAAAAAGAAGGATGTAAGTTAGAACAATAAAGAAAAATATATACATGCGTGAAAGATGAAATAAAAACTCTTACCATGAGTCTTTACTTTCCAACCGTAACGGTAAGAAAGTATTTTCCAAGACCTACCATCTATTGGTGCGGTCTTCAGCAATTTATCTACCCAACCACGAAAATTGGGAATATCCTCCACCACTCCCATTATTGCTAAAAAAAGCAAAACTAGAGAAGTTGATAAACTTGAAAGAAAAAGGCACGAGATGGATAAAAGACTTACGTGCAAAATTCCACTTCTCAGGGAAGGGAGCGTTATTCTCACCCACTAAACCAATAGTGGGGGCAGCAACAAATCGAGCGTACTAGCCACGGTCCTTGTCAGCTTCAGAGCTTACTAAAACACTCTTACTCCTATCCACTAGGGTAAAAACGCCATTACGGAAAAGTCTAGGGGAGTAAAGATGAATCATGTGAGGGAAGGTAAAGAAAACGTCAGCCATATTGGTTAAATGCCTCAAACAGGCAACAACCCTCCATATGATTGGGCCAATTTGACCCAAACAGACATTAAAGAATGGCAAAATTTAAGAATGACTGGGTCAATAGCTGGTTTGAACCCTAAAGTGAAAGGGTATGTATAAACAAAAGAGAACCTAGTCAAGTAAAAAGTAATTCTCTGATTTGGATTATGGATAATAATGGGAAAATCATTACTCCAATGGCAGTCTTTGCGAACTACAGGAGTCGAAACTTCTGTAATTTGAGTGGGGTAAGCGTCAGCACGATCTAAAGCGGAAACCTGGTTTCTAAGAGATTCCCTATCATGGTAAAAAGATAGTTCTGTAGGGGCTATCTCCTCTACTAAAGGCCCACGTAATGGTTCAGAAGGTTCTTTATCCCTAGAAGAAGATTTTTGAGAAAGGGAACCTCTAGTTCTAGAAAAAGGACCAGAACTAGGAGAAGGTATAGACGAACCACCACCGCAAGTAGACCCTAAGCAACGAAGCCCACCTCCCCTTCTATGTCTAACGGGGGCATTAGGGAAGATATCAACAATGGGAACTCTCCTAGGGTTAGGATTTGGTGAAGACATGGCGAAGAAGAATAATGTGAGGAAGAAGTGAACTGAGATTTGAGGAATTAAGTGTTTAATAAACTTTATGTGGTAAAAGACAAGGAAAGAAGTTATATTTATATTAATACGCCACCGCCAAAGGTAAAAGTGCAGTGATGGAAGGACCATAATAATGATAACTGGCACTTCGTGAATAGTGGAGCCGTAAAAAACCTTGAAAAGGGCTGCAAAACTGCAGAACCAATGGAAAAAGGACACGTGTACTGAGCATTAAATGGAAGCGACAATTGAAGCGTCAATTTTGTCATAGCATTAATGGTGACAAAAATTCTCTTTTAATGAAATCCACTTCCCAAATATTCAACTGATGAATAAATGGAAAGTGGGGAGACTATCCGTATTGGACAAAATTGTATTTAAATATAAAGGTGACATGTCAAAACACGTAGACTGGTCAAATAATCAAAGAATTACAACTAGCCAAGAAGCACGAGTTGCAACATATACGAGCAAATGGCAGAGGAAGAGGCACGAGCAGGTATACAAATAACCCAACGCCCGTACCTATCTAAGTCATTTATATCCGAGAATCAAAAGGAATGAATCTGACAATAGAAAGGAGTGCAGATACGACATTTAATAGGTATTAAATGTGGAATACGTTAGAGAATTTGTATTGAATGTAATGATTATGTAACGTATCATTCAATGTCTTTAATTACTCATAATAGCCTCATTATGATTTGGGAAAAACGTATATCTCCAAGATATCCATAAAAGGGAGATATCTGATCAATTGTGGGGACACGAAATACTATTGATATAAACTTTGGTTTACTTGTTTTTCTCTTGATTACTCTCTTGCTACTTAAATTACTTTCTTTTATACACTCTTTTGATTATTAGTAACTCGTGTTCTTCTAAATTCTAGCTTTGACTAAAATTTTATTTTTTAGTTAAACAATATATATAAGCATAATTAGTAACCCGATAAAAATAGTAACTAACCCGCTATCACAAATTAAACTATATTGACAGAAAAATGACTCACTGAGTGATTCATCTGTGAAAGGTAGATATCCTTCTTGCTTTTCAATCCATTATCTCTATGAAAAAAGCTAGGCTTTTTCAATTGATCCTTCTTCTTCTGTGTTCTTCGAATTGGAACTGTCCCTTTTGGACAATTTCCATTTTTTTGCCAGATTTGTGTCGTGACAAACTTGTAGAATTTTTGGTCTGTTTTTGTTGTGAGAGAATTCTCCATAACTGGATTATCACTCGGTCTCATCTGATCAATGAAGCAAAATGGTTTTAATATGCAGCTTTGTGAATGAAATATATGTATCTTATTCTATAATGATATAACTAATATCCTCCGTTTAATTTTTTGTGAAGTTGTTTGATTCGGCATAGATTTAAGAAAATAAAAGATTTTTGAAATTTTTGATCTTAAATATATAGTAGAATCAACGATTGATGCTTGCAGATGCAGTAGCGAAGCACAGGAGTTTTCCCAAGGATGCTCAAACTGGAAAGAAGTAAAAAAAAATCCCGAAAAAGGGTGTTCAATATATGTTATATACCTCTAAAACCTAATATTTTACCTTTATACGCGGTGTAATTTTTCGACGAAGGATGGTCAATTGACCATCCTTTAAGATATATAGCTTCGCCCCTGGATGCTTGCATCAGCGTAAGCTACCTACATTATATCCCTTGGGGTGCGGCCCTTCCCCAGATCCTGCATGAACATCGGATGCTTTGTGCACCGGATTGCCCTTTTTTGTGGTCTTAAACATGCCACGTATATTTATATAGCCATAAAATCATGCCACTAAGGATAAAATGAGAAGTTCAAAATTAAATCTTTCTCAAATATAGAAAGTGTAATTTTTTTTGGAGCACGTTAAAAGAAAAATAGTATCATGTAAAGTGGAATACGGGAAGTATATATAATCTGTGTACTTTAACATGGTGTAATAAATAAATAGTAACTAATATTCCTTATTTTTTAAGTTACTATCTCTGCATTTTATGAATGATTAATTAAGTTATCGTTTAGGCGACTTGATAATATAAAAATACTTTTACACTTTAGTATTTATAATTGCATTAATAAACTCTTCCTGTAATTTTTAATATCAGTTGAACAAACCTGGATTTTGTGGTTCTTCAAAGCAGGATGAGACAAAGCTGGCTGCTTAAAAATGTCAATGCAGTCAATGACATCTCCATCTTCACTCTAACAAAAAATCAAAAGAATTTTTAAAAAAAAAACATCAAGTAACAACTCAATGTATAGATAAAACTATAATATTCAATAAGAAAATATAGATTAGAGAAAGGAAAAAAATTATAATACCACTATATAGTATGTCAAGTGAACTAGCTTGGTGAAAGGGAAAAGGAAAAGGAAATGGCACTAAAGCACTATGTTGTTCAAACTTTTCAAAAATATCGTCGAGTATCGGAATCTTCAAAAGCACTTTTGAAAAATCCGATCGATACGCACGTGACAAATTTTTTGAAAAGTCCGAACAATATAGCTAGAGGAAAATTCATTCTTCCTTCTTTTGATATTAAAGAAG